ACGGCAACTCCCACTATTCGATAATAGTAGTTCAAGAGTTGATGGTTGGTACTGTTGACTGTATGCCTTATCTCAAATCTTATAAATTCAGAATTTGAGACGACTAGTTGCGAAAAGTCTGAAACAAAGGATAAAATAGTCAACTCACACTGTGAATTCTTTGTGTGGTAGTCGTCTTCGATATTGCTGGAGTCAGAATCCCTCTTCAGGATCTCAGTAACTAGCTTGATTTGTATACATAACGTCTCTCATTCGTGCATAGGCTATCACACACTCGAAATTCATTAGGCTTAAGCTCACACCACTGTTTGAATAAGGAAGATTACTTATAACTACTATAATTAAATAATATATATATATATATATTTAGAATTACAGTTTTTGTTAGTGGAATCTTATTACCTTTGTATTTTCTTCTTACACTACGTTTTATTTTATTATTTATAAACTGTTCTCAATTTTGATTTAAACAAAAAGATAGAACACTAGCTAAAAGTTTTTATTAAAATTATGATACTGTATTTTCAAAATGACAGCATATTATTAGGTATAATCATTTATATTGCTCTCTATCTCTATCCCCAGTGGCTTATATAGAAGCTGGAGGGATTTAAACGCTAAGATTACATAGTCCACTGTGCAGCTTTGTGCTTATGGTGTTATACTTATGCACTCCTTTTATTGTTCTCACTTAGCAGTAAAATTTTATATATAAATGTTTTAGCTAATTTGAATTGTTATTTGATTGAAGGACAAAAACTAACGTATTTTTTTTCTCATTTTCAAATCGAAAGAAACCATATATTTTAATATGATAAAGTTACAAAGTTGAGTAAATTATTAGGGTTGTAACTCTATCATATTGAAATCAACTACGTAAACTACTAGGGCTGTAGTACTATCATACTAACATTAATCGAGTAAATTAGTAGGGCTGTAGTTCTATCATACTAACATTAACTTAGCAAATAAATAAGACCATTGTTTTATGATACTAATATTCACAGAGTAAACTAGTAGAGCTGTAGTTCTATCGTACTAATATTAACTGAGTAAATTAGTAGAATTGTAATTCTATCAAACTGAAATTAATTGAGGAAATTAGTAGGGCTGTAGTTTTATGATTAATTGTGTAAATTAGTAGGGCTGTAGTTTTACGATTAATTGTGTAAATTAGTATGGTTGTAGTTCCATCATACTAAAATTAACTAAGTAAATTAGTAAGTCTGTAGTTTTCTCATATTGAAATTAGATGAGTAAATTAGTAAGGATGTAGTTTTATCATACTAACATTAACTGAGTAAATTTGTAAGGCTGTAGTTTTATCATATTGACATCAACAGAGTAAATTAATAGGGTTTTAGTCCTTTCATACTAACATTAACTGAGTAAATTTGTAAGCCTGTAGTTTATGATACTAACATTCATTTAGTAAATTATAAGAGATTATATTCTATCACACTAAAATTAATTGAATAAAGTAATAGGCTGTAGCCATGTCATACTAACATTAATTTAGTAAGGCTATAGATCTGTCTTAGTAATGTTGAGTAAATTATTAGGGCTGTAATACTATCATACTAACATTAATTGAATACATTAGTAGGGCTGTAATTCTATCATACAGACATCAACTGAATAAATAAGTTTTATCATGCTGACATTAACTAAGTAAATTAATAAGGTTGTAGTTATATCCTACAAAATAAACTGAGTAAATTAGTACGGTTCTATTTCTATCATATTAACATTAACTGAATAAATATGTAGGGCTATTATACTGAAATTAATTGAGTAAGTTAGTAGGGCTGTGATTCGATCATACTGCAGTTAACTGAGTAAACTAGTAAGGCTGTAGTTGTATCATACTGACATTAACAACTGAAATTAGCAAGGCTATAGTTTTATGATACTAATATTAACGACGGAAATTAGTAGGGCTTTAGTTTTATGATGCTAACATTCACTGAATAAATTAGAAGGGATGTAGTTCTATCATACTGACATTAACGACGGAAATTAGTAGGGCTATAGTTTTATCATACTAACATTCACTAAGTAAGTTAGAAGGGATGTAGTTCTGGCATATTAGCATTAACTGAATAAATTAGTAGAGCTGTATTCCTGCCATATTAACATTAAATGAGTAAACTAGTTGAGCTGTAGTTATACGATAACAACATTAACTGTGTAAATTAGTAAGGCTAAAGTTCTACCATACTGACTTAGCTAAGTGAATTAGTAAGGCTTGTACTTCTATCAGACTATTATTAAATGAGTACATTTGTAGGACTGTAATTTTACGATACTAACATTAACTAAGTAAATTAAGCTGTAGTTCTAACGTACAAGCATTCATTGAGTAAATTACTGGTGCTGTAGTTCTTTCCTACTGACATTAACTGAATAAGTTAGTAGGGCTGTAGTGTATACTAACAATAACTGAGTAAATTAGTAGAGTTGTAGTTGTTTGATAACAAGTTTGACTGAGTAACTTAGAACGACTGTAGTTTTATAATATCAAAATTAACTTAGTAAATTAATAGGGCTGTATTTTTATGATATCAACATTAACTGAGTAAATTAGTAAGGCTTTAGTTTTTTGATACCAACATTAAATGACTAAATTAGTAGGGTTGTAGTTCTATCATTCTGACAATAACTGAGTAAATTAGTACGACTGTAGTTTTACGGTAAAAACATTAATTGAATAAAATTAAAAACATTTATCTTAGTGGCTTTATAAGAAAGTCGGTTGTCTGTAAAAGTCAGTAAGAGTGAAAATACTAGGCTGTTTCTCCAGGAGACCAGCCCTTTTGTATAGTAAAGTATTGTCATTGAAAATCACGTTTTACAAGATAGAAGCCTCAGATGAAAAGTGCCATTTAGTTTCAACAGGTGAAGATTTTTTATACAAAATATTATATAAAATATAATTTTCAAAATTTCTATATAAATATATGGAGATTGTTTTTTGTTGTTGTTTTATTCATCTGCTTTAAAATGTTTGTTTGCTTGTAATTAAGCACAAAGCTACACAATGGGCTATCTGTGCTTTGCCCACCACGGGTATCAAAACCCGGATTCTAGCGTTGTAAGTCCACAGACATACCGCTGTGCCACTGGAGGACCTTTAAAAATGACTAAATAATATAAAATGTAGTATATATCCTGATTCACAATTTATAAGAAATTAAATGAACTGCAAGGTCATGAATTTAGGTCATTCATTAGTTTACAGGAAAATGATTGTAAATTATCGTTTGTACGAAACAACTTATCCAAAACATGTATTTCTTGCATAACAAGATGTTGTTCAGCTAACCAAGCGTATTTAACAGGTGTATTTACTAAACGATAGATTGGAGGAAGTGCGTTATATCTCTTTATGCCACAAGCCAAATGTATATATATTATCTTGCTGCACGAAACATGGCTTGTCATACATAAATACGGGAGGACAATGTGTAAAGTTTTTATCAAATTGTTTGTTAACCATGAAATATTCATTTCTAAAAAATTAAAATAACATAAGAGCAAAGCACTGAACAAACCTGACGCTATACCTTAAGTTTTGCTGTCATGCAATGGCCCAGAAAGCATAGATAATTGTCAGTAGAGCAGAAATTTCGTATATAAGCTTTACGTGATGCTGGTTGGACTCTCCGACAAATTGCTGCAGAACTGAAATGCTTCCCAAACACTGTTAAGTACACCCTAGACCGTGAGACCGAGACAGGTAAATTTCAAAATAGGTAAGGAAGAAGCAGAACACCGAAACGCAATAATACTGATGTTAAGTATCTTCGTTTATGTAGCCTTCGGGGCAGATGGAAGACTGCCACTGATCTCAAGCCTGAAATAAACGACCATGTACCAAATGACAGAAAAATGTTCAGATCTACAGTATCAAAAAGACTCAACGAGAGTGGAATATTTGATCGTGTAGCGGTTAAAAAAATCTTTACTTCGATCTCCAATTATTGTCAAGAGACTGAAATTTGCTAAAAAGTACAAAACTGGACTGTTGGTGATTGGAAAAGGATGTTATGGACGGATGGGTCTAAGTTTGAAATATTTGGTTTAAAGCGTAGGTTGTGCGTCCGGCGGAAGAAAAGTGAAAGATACTTACCTCAATGCATAGCACCTACCATGAAGCATGGGGGAGGCAGTGTGATAGTTTGGGGGTGTTTTTCTGCTAAGGCGACAGGAGATATTTGCAAAAAAAAATGGAATAATTGACCAGCGCAAGTACCATAAGATCCTGTCTGTCATGGTATACCCAGTGGTTTACATATTATTGGTAAATGACTCTACTACCAAGAAAATAATGACCCCAAACACTCATCCAACCTATGCTGAAATTACTGAGCTAAGAAGGAAGCTGCTGGAGTCATTCAAATGATGCAATGGCTCCCCACAAAGCTCCGATCTCAACCCAATTGAGCAAACCTGGGAGTTGATAGATCAAAAATTTGACAAATCAAAAGTTACTTCCAAAGAAAGTTTTTGGGAGTAAATTAGAAACATTTGGAGTAAAATCCTAAAGGACACTTTGATTAATTATGTTACAACAATGCCTGAAAGACTGTCTGCAGTTATTAAAACAAAAGTGGGACACACAAAATATTGATTGTTTGCTGAACTCAAGCACTTCCACTGAGTTTCTGTTGTACTAAATATGAAGATTAATAAAATTTTGATGTTTCACCTGTGATTTACCTTCCATAGTTCTTTGAAAGTAGCTTGAAATATAATTTTTGACTTTGTCCTAATACTTCTGCACAGTACTGTAGTTTTACCATTTCACTTAAATCTCCTGTTTTCTCTTGATGCAAGTGTATTTTACTGATCACTTTAGTTTTGAATGGTTTATCTATTCATCAGTTTCTTATAGATAAAGTTTATGATTGCATACAAAAGAAGTTTACTTTTTAATGAAAACCATGTATGTATAACTATTTTGCATTATATTTTAATATGTATTGGTCTATTTCCAGATTAGACAAGAAAAACCATTTTATGTTCCTAATCCAGAATTAGACAGTTTAGTAAGTACCAATCCGTTTATTTTTATATATAAATTGCTTTTATCATTTAACTTGAATATATATGGAATGTAATAAGCATCTATCTCTTTGTTTCTCCAGATTACTTATTTTTATACAGTTTAATGAGTATCTGTCTCTTTGTTTGCTTACATCACTTATCTTATGATAAAGGTAATGATGGAAATACAAAACTCAGAACATAAAATCAACATTGCTGTTTATATATTTGACCCTAAACATATCCTTCATCAAACTTTTTTCTTGATGGGAGAAAATTGCAACAACCTCATATTAAGTATCGAAGTGTGCTGGTCTTGTATATAACGAGCTTTGGCGGCTGTTGCGAACCCAGAGTTTGTATTCCAAGTTGCCATCACGAAAATGTAATAATAGATGTTAGCTTTATCTTTTGGGACTAAAGTCAGGCTTTAAAAAATATTCTTTCTGTAAGAAGAGCTTTAATCAAGGATATTGTGTTTGTTAAAAAAGAATTAGTGTCTCATTTTAAAAGTCCAGAATAAAGTTTATTCTGAGAACAAAAACTTCATGTTCGTTAGATATAAAATAATTACAATTGTGTTAGGGAACGAGGGATATCATACTCAGCAGATCCAACCGTTAGTAGTACGCTCCAGTTTGTGATGTGACAAGATAATACAATTTTTTTTATACCATAATAAACTTCCTCCCGAAAGGGACTGCAACAATATAAATAACTTTATTTTTTGCACATTATAATTAATACATATTCATTTTTATTTTCATTTCACAATTACTGATCTCAACGTCTATTAGGGGTATCTTTGTACTTACCAAGTCAACTAGCATTTTGAAATTAACTCTACTGTAAATGTTTGGTTACCCAATGAAACCTAAAGCGAAACGTTGAGGGGTGAAACATGTTACAGTTTCTTGTTTTATTGAACACTGTTATAATAATAATTTAAATAAATGTTTGAGGTTTTCCATAAAATCGTTTTTAGATAAGCATATCAGTTGCTTTACTTGATTATAATTGAAATATTATTTTGCAAATTCAATGATATAGTGTTTGGTACATAATGCAAGGTAAATTTAGCTATCTTAATAGCTTAATACTGACGTAATAATTTACTTTCTTTCAGTATCCGGAAATTGTATCGCCATTTTGGTTAAACCGGTCTTTTATGGATAAATTCAAAAAGCCAAATTATCTTTTTCAAAACACTTGTGTCCGGTGGCCTTATTCTGTAAATATAGTAAAGTGTAAAGCTACTGCTAGAAACGACAACGAGATTGTGATTGGACACTATTAGATTCTGTTGATCATGTGAATAGCTCAGTCATTATATGCATTTGTCCACGAACGAAGGAATGGGAATTGTATGGGTATTCTATAAGGCGGTTTAAGCCTTTAACGATTGCTAGCACAAACAGTGATTTGTTGTTTGTCAAACAATTTAAAAGAAACACATTAAGTAGTGGATTAGTATAGAATGGTACTGATCGTATCACTCACTGGCTCACGAAGGTCTATTGGTAAAAATCTTCTTATATAACCCTCAATGTGTAGCCTATCTTATAAGCAAGGTTTCCGATACCGTTCTTAACAGTTCTAAACACTGAAGCCAATAGATAGGAATTACCCTTGTTCATAATACACATGTATTTAGTTTCAGGTTAGATGACAGCATTTCGAAATTAATGCTTGACTAGCTGACGTGAATCGATTGGTATATACCCGATTATTGAGGCTTTATTTTAGTATCTTTGTTTCATTTTTGTATTTTCTTGCTAATTTTTTTTAATATACATGACAAAACGAAACACCTTTTTTACATCTTAAGTAGATCAAGTTATCATACAATTTAATATATTTTTTAGTAAATCAATATACAGGCTCAATATATTTTATGACCATTATTGTGCATATATTTCAGAAAATAAGTAAGAACATTCAACGTTTAAAAATAATTTTACTTAATTTATGAAATATATAGGGAGTTTTCGGAAATTATTTAAAAAATTACTACATCTATTTCTGATGTGTAAAGCACACAATGTCGGCACGCCACTTGTCTATCACTGTGTTCTGTCTTAAATTGGCCCGGAAATGGACTCGCAAGCTGCGGGTTCGATTCCCCGTCCCACCAAACATGCTCGCTCTTTCAGCCGTATGGGCGTTATAATATGACGTTCAATCCCACCATTCGTTGGTAAAAGGTAGCTCAGGAGTTGGCGGTGGGTGGTGATGACTAGCTGCCTTCCCTCTAGTCTTCCACTGCTAAATTAAGGACGGCTAGCGCATATAGTCCTCGTGCAGCTTTGCGCGAAATTCAAAAACTAACAAACAAACAAACTGTGCAACTGGTGGCAGGAAAAGCTTCCCCGTTAAAGAGATTTAAGACTTTTGCTTATGAAACATCAGTAAACAACTTTGTTCATAAATTCTGTACATTTTCTTCCGAAACTTTTGCTATTTCTGAAAAGACGATGTTTATTGTAACTGTAAAGCACCTATTGTAATCACTTATTTCTTAGTTTATTTACATCTCTCCTTTCTAAGGCAGAGGTATTTCAGATGCCAAATCCTAATAAAGGTATTTCATAGAAATACTTTACCTTTAAATCTAGCTAAAGTTATTTTTTGTCATTGATATTGTTCAGTTACAGTACGCTCACTTGTTACGTTTGACATGCATTATTTATATAGGCTTTCTATACATATATCTAGCCACACGCGATATCTGAATGAATGTTGACAATAGTTGTATATTTGTTTTTGTGTGATACTTTTGAACTTGTAAGCGGATTGCATTGGTGTGTACAACTTGTATTGAGTATAGATTAATGACACTGTTTTCTAAGCTGTTTGAGATACACGTAATGCGATACTCTGTAAATACAAGAAATAAATATTTCTTTTTCAGATGGTTCAAGCAATACAAGTATTGCGATTTCATCTTCTAGAACTCGAAAAGGTAATTACTTATTCACTGTAATTTAACGCTTAGCTGTAGTTCATTCACAATTATATAACGTAATATTTGGTTTATTTACTGTATAAGATAATATTGCTATGTTTATTGTTTAAACTTTCTCTTTACGTAAGGAGCGTGTTCGGTACTCTCGCTACTTTCATAGAGGTTTTCACGCTGAATCCAATGATATATTATTCATGGGGCCTTTTTTCAATAACATATAAAATAAATCAGTCAAATATAAGATTTTTAATATTTCTTAAAATTTCCCGGTTTTTACTGGTTTCTGTAAATACAAAATGTTTGGTTGCGAAAGCGTTAAAATAATTTGGAATGCTTAATGAATTTCTTTATCGTTGCTATATTTATTACATAAGAAAACTTTTACTATAGTTATAGCATAAGATAATAACTATTTTATTGCACATGGTCATTTCTGAAAATATACAATATATGCCAATTTTTTACATTGAAAGCTCAAAGTAATTTTATTATATACATTTGGTGTGTATAATCATCCTTATTATATTTATTGAATATTTTTTTTAGATTTATTTATAAGTTTGGTTAATATATAAGGTCATCTATGATATATTTAATTGCCCATATTGACAGATTAAATGAGTAGAGCTTTACTTTGAAAAGTTGTTATACACTAAGTCATATTTCGCACACACAGACACACACACACACACATACATAGGTTAAATACGTTATATTCAAACGATTTTGGAGTCTCGCCACGTCGTTATAGTCAATGTCGCTACGTCCGGTCATACTCTATCTGATAACTATGCCCTTTGATAATAACCATGCAGCGTAGTTTCCATTGCAAAAGGCTCAGTTGTAAGGTTGACATGTCTAAATCACATCACTCTCTTCTGAGTTCCTTCTTAAGCCATTAATAAATCTGGACAACGGTTTCCCAGCGCGCATTTCAACAGCCCGTTAGCATAAAAATATGTAAAAATAAAAATATGTATACTCGTTTCATTCCCAGCTGCTTGAGTTATGCGCCGTTGAACAACTGTGTCGTGGAAGCAACTTGTATACACGTGACTTTTGTCACTTATCCAGATAAAGATGCTTTTTTATTACGTTGCGTAATGTTACCTGGAGCAGGTTGACGACTTTTCTCACTGACCTCTGTGTTCCTGCGTTCTCACCTGTTACAAACTCTGCTGATTATCATGGCTGGTGTACGACTTGTTGCGGTTCTCTTTCTAAATAATCCTGGTACCCCAAACTGATCCATATTATCTTTGTTTTCCAGTGGCATTGAGTACAAGGGATATCCTTGTCTTAGAAATTCTAAGTTCACTATCTGAACACATCTTTATAATCTGTGTTTGCTATTATAATTTTTTAGGTTCCACCGCCTGTTTTGATCCTACTATGTTTGTTTTTATAATCCTGTGGGTTCCATCGATTGTTGTGATCCTACTATGTTTGTTATTATAATCCTGAGGGTTCCATTGATTGTTTAGACCCTACTATGTTTGTTATTATAATCCTGAGGGTTCCATTGATTGTTTAGACCCTACTATGTTTGTTATTATAATCCTGAGGGTTCCATCGATTGTTTTCATCCTACTGTGTTTGTTATTATAATCGTGGGTGATCCATTATGATTCTTCCATGTCTGATATTATGGTTTTTAGTCTTTCATGCATTGTTGTGATCCTTATTGTTATTATAATTCTTACTTAGCGTTCCATCTATCGTTGTGAACTATACTATGGTTGTTATTATCGTTCTTAATCTCCCATCCGTTGTTTGTGATCCTAGCATATTATGTAATATCGTATTTGAACGCACTCATGTTGTATGAACACACACTTTTATTATATTCACGGAAAAGTTTACTTCATCCAGTGTTAAAGAGTCGAGAGTTTTCTCATGTTTAAAAATATTTTATAATGTGTAAAGTGATTCCTTTGGTACCTCAAAATAAGTAAAGTGACCTTTGTGTCTTTAAATATGCGGAACTTTTACATACTAAAGTTACGACAATTAAGTAACGTAAAATATTTTATTTTTCTAGAGCTGTAGACTAGTTTCTGATGCAGGATTTTAAGTCACTGTTTATGAGAGTTGTTGACTATCAAGTATTTTGAACTTTGCCAAAACAGCTGATGTACTTGTCTCAGAAAATGTATTTTTATTCACTTTGAATCAGCTTGAGCCATGAAGATTCACTGACGTTTGTTCAGGGAACAGCCTATTATCATCAAGTTCCGCATAAAGCAAATTATCTACTCTAATCGAAACCAGAAGTCAATCCAACGACGATTACATCCATCCAAGTATATCGTTCTCATGCTCTTGTTTATAAAGATAATAATGAATTTTTTCATCAGTGAGGTACCATCGCTGTTAAAGATATTTTTGGATGTAAATCCAATAATACCTCAGGAGGTTCGGACAATTTAGGGAGACTTAGGTTAGTTATAAATCCTTCTACTAAGATAACAATGCAAAATAAACTATATAAAAGTATAGTCATAAATTAGAATGAATAAAAATGGATATACTAAACATTTCAACCAAGACGGACAACTGTTAGGCTAGCTTTGCGTATGCTAGAAATTCACTAGTCACCAGGAACCACAATATAGCAAAATTTAACGTCTCGTATATGGTTCTAAGAACATTCATAAGCTTCTTTCTATATGCTGGTGAATTGGATATTGAAAATGAATAGATGTACATAAACAACATTTTTCTGTTATTTTACTCTTTTAGTTCTTGACAAAGAACGTACCATGAGATCATGAATATATATCCTTCTTCTAGTCATCTCTGAAATTTACATAAAATTCAGCATTTTAAACTCATGTACCGAAGTTGATAATATGCTGAGGAAACTCTCACAGGTGAAATGACTTCATGCATCGAAGTTAATAATATGTTAAGTAAACCCTCACTAAGTGAGTTGACTTCATGCATCGAAGTTATTAACATGTTAAGTAAACCCTCACTGAGTGAGTTGACTTCATGCATCGAAGTTATTAACATGTTAAGTAAACCCTCACTGAGTGAGTTGACTTCATGAATCGAAGTTGATAACATGTTAACTAAACCCTCACTGAGTGAGTTGACTTCATGAATCGAAGTTGATAACTGGTTAACTAAACCCTCACTGAGTGAGTTGACTTCATGAATCGAAGTTGATAACATGTTAACTAAACCCTCACTGAGTGAATTGACTTCATGCATCGAAGTTGATAACAAATTAAGAAAACCCTAACAGGGTGAGTTGACCTCATACACCGAAGTTGATAACATGTTAAGTAAACCCTCACAGGGCGAATTGTCCCCATACACTGAAGTTAATAACATGCTAAGTTAACCTTTCACAGGGTGAGTTGACTTCATACACTGAAGTTAATAACATGCCGAGTAAAGCCTCACAGGGTGAGTTGACCTCATACACCGAAGTTAATAACAAGTTAAGTAAACCCTAACAGGGTGAGTTGACCTCATACACCGAAGTTGATAACATGTGAAGTAAGCCCTCACGGGGGGAGTGGACCTCATATACACCGAAGGCGATAATATGCTGAGTAAACCCTCACAAGGTGAGTTGACCTCATGCACCGAAGAAGTATTTTCGCTAATAGGGTTGGAGTGGGCGTGTTCCTCTTTCCAAGAGTGAAAACATCTACCGACATATAAAGTTGAATTCCTTAAAAATTCAGCCCATGAAAATATTTCGTGTTATCTAAAATATTAAAATAATTTTAAAGACGCGGAATTTATTATACAAAACTCTAAAAGAACCATTAAATACATAATATAGCGGTAGTAGTGTGCGTTTTATATTCATATTATTCATTCCAAACTCTTATAATTTGCTTATTGATAGGCATTATGTCACTCTACGAAGCAGTACAGAGTTTGTATATATCAATTAAAACGATTTTGGAACCTCACCACGTCGTCACAGTCCATGTCACCATGTATGGTCATGTTCTTTCTCACTACTATGCACCTTGACAATAACCCGGAAGCATAGTTTCCATTGCAAAAGACTCCGTCTCTAGGCGGTCATGTCGAAGCACACAGCCTATCCCTCCATACTTTCCATCTTGAGTATGAGGACGACGGTTTCACATCGCCAGTTTCAACAGTCGATTGACTTCACCGGCATGTCTTCGTATGCAATATCATTATTATATATTTCAGCTGTTTGAAGTATGCTACTGTTGAACGGTTATGTCGTGGAAGCAGCTTGTGTATACATGATTTACGTCGCTTTTATAAACAGACAGATAACCTTCTTGTTTAGGTTGCGCACTGTTGCCTAGATACGTGGAAGGCTTCTGTAACTGACCTTTTGTTCGATGCTTCTCACCTGTTATTACAAGACGTCGCAATTTGCTTATCACGCCTGGAGTACGATTTGTTACAGATCTATTTTTGGATGGTCCTGGATACCTAGTTGATCCATATTCTCCCGTTTTCCAACGCCATTAACCTCAAGGGATACTCTTGTCTTGGAAATTCTAAATCCCCGATCTGACCACATCTTTATGGTCTGAATGTGTGAATGCTTTGCGTCCATTTCACCACGACTTCATATCGGGTGTGGTTTTCATTTGATACGCTGATTTGCTTATCTGTTTTAATATAGTGTACTTAACCCTCTTTATACGTTGTTGAGGTTTATAACAAGAAGACGGCGTAGGTTATGAACATAGAATACAGTTTATCGTTGTGTGTAGACATATTTTTCTAGAGCTTTATTTGTATAAAGTTAACGTCTCAGTGTATGTTATTTTTATAACAGATGTATCAGGAGAAGAGGTAAGCTGGTTGTTTGATTAACGTTTAATTCAGGACGTATCTTGTGAATCCACGAACAGATGTACATATATAACCGAGAAAAGTTTATGAAATGCATTTGGAGATGTCAATATACCAATAAGTCTTATGTCGATATACCAATAAGTCTTATGACAACTCAGAAACAGCTGCTCTCGCATTTTTACGTGATCATGCACTGTCTTCACTTTCACACGCATGCTTTGAAAAGCTCTGTATTTTTTTCACAATATAATGCTAAGACACGTTTGCTTAGATTTAAACAGTACAAACTTAGGTTACATATAATAGTAACTGCATGAACAACAGTCTTTCATTTAAATATCAGCTGAAAATGCTGAACAGTCCTAACCTTAAAATGCATGCATGAAAGATCTCTTTTAATGAATTCTATCTATTCCGCATGTACAGTTAGATAAAAATGGCAATCCCATATTTTCACACAAACAATGACTCTTCCTAGATCCAATTAAGATATTTAAGGCAGTAATTGCTCAACTATTTTCATTGTTACCTTCCCCTTCCGGTGGCTCAGTGGTAAGTCTGAGGGCTTATCATGCTAAAAATCGTGTTTCAATATCCGTGATGGGCAAAGCAAAGACAGCCCATTGTGTAGCTTTGCGCTTAATAATAATTTTCATCGCTGAAAATTAAACTAGTGCCCTCTACCGGTATGCATATTAACATTTTCTTGGCTAATTTCTACATGGTTTATTATATTTCACCCTTTTCAAGATTTATTAGACAACACACTGAAATGTCTTCAAGCAAGTCCTCAAACACTGTACAACACTAACTGTTATAGCATATATACTTTTCAGGATTAAGCGTTACAAGTAGCGGTGTTCTGCACTGATGTCTGCTTACACAAGTCCTTGTTCTTAAGGAAGAACATTCTAGAATAATGACAGCAATTTGTTCCAAACAATGTTCATATTAACATACATAGCTTTGGTTATATTTGTAATCTTTTTTGCCTTTGTAAAAGGAATATGCTTTGGACGATATCGCGTTTTCTTGTGAGTTGAGCTTTAAATATTAAACTCTGCTCCTAATTCTTCACTTGGGAAATATATTCATCATCCAAAAGAAGATCAGCAGACATAGAAATAATACTCTCCCAAGATAGTGTTTAATACCTGTCTCTAGACAAATCTTAACTCCTTTCAATAATTGTATTCCTCATATAATCAGAAATTATATTATGCAGTTGCAGAACCTAATCAACCACGTGACAATATAGTTAACGATCCATAAAATATCTTCATACATTTTTAAAATTTGTTATTTTGTCTTCTTCATGGCAAAGTTTGACCACTCTATAAACTATCTACTGCGTAGACTTCGATTCACGGAGTTAGGAATAATTAGGGACATTTTCCTGTCAGCCTGCTTTGAGTTTGTTCCTAGAGAGAGGGATGGATCTAGGGTTAGCAGGCCCAGTGGGGCGAATTTTATTGAAGCGCTCTTGACTGAAGCTATAGTTGAGGAAGACGTGTAATTAGTGCCGTGATTATAGTCGTTGTCACATTGACAGATTGAATCGCTCTCTTTTTACCAGTCGCTGTGGTGCTCTACTCCTTGCCGAGTGCCCTTCTGATTGCACACCACCGTGAATATAGTTATTGTATTCCTATCGAGAGATGTAAATATCACAATTTTCAAATATCTATCGCCGTCTAGTGGTATCACTAAGGATTTTTTTCTAGATTTCACTTTTATGGTGAAAAGTTACAGCTTAGAGTACGAGTTCCAAATTATTCATGCTGAAAAAGCTCGGAATTTTGAACAGCAATTCTGAAAATTTATAAAAGTAGCCTCAAAATGGTGGAGAGTTTACTTAAAAAGAGTATGAAACAAAACTAGTTTAAGTCAAGAGAAGAATGAGTAGGTCTAAATGTATGACGTTAAGCCTGAAAGATTTTGTCCTGTCCAAATATATTCCCATTTCTTGCAAACTATTTTGTAAATGTGTTCGTAAAACGTGTTTGAAGCAAATAGTGTGGTGCCATTTTATTACTTAAATTAATCTAAACTTGGTGTCAATATATATATAGCAAACGTTTTTCTTGGCGTCTTACACGAAAATGTGAATAGCAACAGAAGAAAGAGAGAATGTCAGTGGTGTAAAAATATATACACATGATGTCCTAGTTTGCAGAAAAAGTCTTCAAGAGTGTAAAAAAATATAGAAATACTTGTCACCACACTGTGAGAGAAATAATTTCTGACTTTCAGAAGTTGTGAATACTGTTTGCTGCAACTTTACGAAGCATAGTAAATACGGCACATTGCCGTATATACATTTTATATAGAAACAGGTAAAGCTCTGTATATAATCATTATATTGAAAGGTATTAGTTTGATATCGTCAATGAAGTCAGCTTTAGTTAGACACAAACTGAGGAAACAGCTATATTTTATGTATGTTTTGCATTATTCGATCCTTTCTAATGCTACAACCACCTTCCCATTCCTAGGCCCAACAAGAGAAAGAGAAGAACATTTTTCTTGTAATGATCATGATTATAGTGTAGAGGTCATCAAAGTCCGCGCTGTGTTTTTCATACTGTAAAATAAGTTGCGCAGTTTCTTTCGGTGTAATAAATAAAAGCTACTTAATCTTCCAAACTCAGACATTTTTTATGAGTCGCCAGAAATAACAAATACTGAACGATCAACGTCCTCGATTCAGAGCTCACGAAGAGAAATGCGATTTATGAACCAAGGTAATCTCACTCAGTGAGCAACGTATATATATATATATATATATGCTACTATATGATTAACTGACGTTGTTAAGTTGTTTCGTATTACATCATGTACATTGTGGTTGGTCTTGCGCAATTAGTTTCTTATCTAAACACACTATGAAAATTGAAAGTTTTTATTAAACACACAGTGCGTTTCCTGTGATGAAACCTTAAAGCACACACACACACACACATGTATATATGCACTATTAATTTAAAAAAGTTAGTGTGGCATATTGTTTTGCTGTAACATTGACCAAAGTTTCGTTCAAATCTTTTAAATTCTTTAAAGCTAATGATTTCACGTGCGTACTTGTGTTCTAGTAAAGAACTGATTTTAAATAATTACTAAGCATATCTGACGTCGATATTATCAGTTTTTTACTTAAATATTCTAAATTGTGGTTTCACCTCTTGTTCCATGAATTATGAATAAACTTACATTTGTATTTATTTTTCTTCTGCTCTGTGTTCACAAATTTTATGATAACATATGTACCTTTTTCTTTTTACCTTGGGTTCATAAATATTTTCTTTTCCCTCTCCAGGTTAAAGATTTTTTTAATAGTTTTCTTTTTTATTGGTGTGCAAGTTCATGATACATGGTCTTATTTCTTTCTACTCCAGTTTCTGAGGTAAAATCTTTTTTCCCCTTTTATTTCCAGGTTCATGAACTTTGTGATAATTTTTGTCAAAGATACATCAGTTGTCTTAAAGGGAAAATGCCAATCGATTTAGTAATAGAAGACAGAGATACAAAACCCGGAGACTTGGGTGATAACAATAATAACAGTAGTAGTAGTGGAGGTGGAGGGGGTGGTAACACCAACGGGAACATCTGTGGAGGTGGAAGAGGAAGTGATTCAACAGGGCACAATAGCGATCATTCGACGCCCCCAGATCAGGTAGGATATTTTTAAATTTGATTAAAATTTACTCTTATTTATCATCAGTAACTGAAGATGTAATTCATAAACTCAAACGCTTGCAATATGTATCATTAACACGTTATGTTTACTTGTAGTCGGGTGTATCAGTTGTAATAAGAAATTCAATAAATACATACATACACATATATATATATACGTATAACACACACACATATATAACATTTTTGCAAATTTGTCGTTTTTCATGTTCACTTGTGTATTTGTGTTGTTTATTTCAATCCTAAATTGAAAATTGCAAGTTTGTAAGATCTGTTTGGTTCAGAACCTGTTGAGATAGAAAAGTTTGTATATTTAGCAAAACAACCACAACAACAAACAAACAAAAAAACGAACTAACTTTATGATGCTGGATGCTAATTATTTTTAGGAATGTCCTGGTGGTTTTCATAAGCAGTCTCGTGATTCTTGTTTCCCCACTTACGTCACACGTAGCTAAGTTTTTCTGTTTGTTTTTTACGCAAAGCTGCACAATGAGCTGCTTGCGTTGGTCTCCAAATTCTAGCGTTATAAATCGCCAGGCTTACTACTGATATACTTGGAAACAACACCTTGTTAAGAAAGTTTAGTATGTTTCTCTGGAGAGCTTTAGATTAAACTATGAACTTTTTTTTTGTGAAACCAACCATTCTAATATTTGCCAGTCACCAAATACATGTTTCAAATTAGTCTGTGTTCACGGATAGTTTTAAATGATAAAGACGTATTTTTAAGTGTTTCAAGTGCTTCACCATCTTTCATTGGTATATGCAAGCTGTAAAAAATTAACTATTGACAAAAGTTGCTTTGAACATCTAGGTCTCAGAAACCACGTGGGTGCATGAAGGACCATATTGGGTGCAGATTTATATTATAAAACCATGGACATCATTGTTATACGTACACAAAATACTAGACATTGGTGCATAGTTTTAGTTAGTTATCAAACATTATGTAGATGGACTAAAGATCGAAGCTGGTGCACAAAACTGGTTTTCAGTAATCGCACGCGTGTGTGTAAAAAAAAAATAATGGGCACAGATGGAGCGCAAAATTGGTTATAAAAAAGAGGTACATCAAAGTTTAGTGTGAGTGCACGCTTTTATTTATAAAAAACAAACTTGCAGATGTGCTAAAGGTCAGGCTGGGTGCATTCAATGGGGGTGTCAGAAATCACTGAGATACAGGCGCTTGAAGTGGGTGAGCAAAGTCATATGACGAAAATACTTAGATGTAAAATTGATTAAAGTTCATACATACATACAGAGATAAAATATCGAACGTCAGTGATGATCAGATTGGGCGCGAAAAGTTAGATAACAAAACCCTTGTAGTGTAATGACGCTTAGAGTAAATACATGTCTTTGGGTAATATAATGATAAAGAACTACCGAAACACAACTTTAGACGTTTTGCAAATCTTATTTCTTTAGAATTCTAGACAAGATTATATTTCGCATGATTTACTCAAAAAGTGATTCCTGTGAAAATAACATACTTTGATAATTCCCAGGACGTTTTTGACCTAGCAGGAGAGATGTTTAACCGTGAAAAACTGTAATAATAATATTGTGGTTATGGAGAGCAATATAAATTGTTACGTCTCCGTTTGTTAATTAACTTTCCGTAACTTCGTTCCGACGAAACTTAAGCGACACAAGTT